AGAAATGCAATGTGACCGCATTCCTAGTCACCCTCGCTTCTTCTCTTCATGCCACGGGGGTGGGCGTAGCCTCGCCTCNCCACAGGGCCAGAAATGCAATGTGACCGCATTCCTAGTCACCCTCGCTTCTTCTCTTCATGCCCGCGGGGGTGGGCGTGGTCTCGCCTCACCGCCGGAGTCCAGTATATAGAGCGTGTGTATTCGGCTGGCTGAACCGAACCCCTTAACTGCATTTAGTCAAGATCCCTACCGTATCTGTTACTATTCGTGCTAGTGAACATACTGAGTGAGAAGGGACAGACAGCAAGAGACTGGCTCAGGGAAAACAAGAGGTGTCGTGAGCTTTATGCGTCGATTCTTTTTACCTCTCTGTCAATGATTTTCACGGAGCACCCGAGCAGTGCGGTGTACGGTGCTGTGGCTTGTACGATAGTCAGTGGGCAGTGACACTGACGGTTTCGGCGCAAGCGATATGGTGCTGTCGGGCCACAGAAACTTCGCTCCAAGGACTTTTAGTGTACTGTAATGGTCGTAGAGGGCTGCGCGAAATGGAAAGTGTGGCCCAACGGACGCGAGAAACGGACGCTCTCCTTGCCAGTCATATCACGGTAGTAATTGGTTAATGAATGAAAAAAAGTAAAGAAGGTAAAAGAATAAGGAGTTAATAGAAATGGGTTAGCTCACATGTCCTTGCTCTTCCTCAACGATACTTATGACATGACACATATCAAACACATAAACCTCTTTTATTTGACTTTACAAACAAGCATACAATACAACATAAACTCAAGCATTATTTGGTGCTTAAAATTTATAATGAGAACAAAGTGAATTCATAACAATAACAAGAAATCAACGACACAAGACATTGCTGCGGCAAAATCAACAAATTAAAGGAAAAGGAAAGGTGTAAACAAATAACAGTAATGTCAGGATTGAAGTGAGACTAATTTTCCATTTATGGTAACACCACTTTTTGCAAGTTTACTTTCGAACAACTCATCTGCTCCTTCTTCATCACCAACGGCTTCCTTGTACGCGCTCACAACAGCTTTTCGCAATTTCTTTACCTTAAACAGAAGGGGCATTATTCGGCGCTTAGTATGAATAAGTATTATAGTAAACAGTAAACGCTTACAGTAAACATCTAGTCAATAAATGCAAATAACCTGTGATATAGGGCGAACGAGGAGTATTGCAAGCAGCATCGCTACTACATGCAGGAATCCAGGACAAACTCCTGAGCTAGTACCCACACAGGCCAACTAACCATTAATAGACTGGATTACTCACTGAACACTACCTTGTGAGGATTTTATAATTCAAACGATTAGGCGATTATACAGAGGCTGTGACTTCCTAGAGAGGCCAATTGATATTCGACTAAGCTATTCGTAAAATCAGGGTAACTCGGAAAAGCTTAACAACTTGTACGGAAAACTTCTGCGAACCTCATCAATCAGTCGCTTTTAAAGCTCCTATGCGAACAACGAAAGTCCACAACAGTACATACGACAATGTACAAAGGACAATACCTACCTTCATTTCCCCACCAGCTTCACGCAATTTTCGTTTGATTGTCGACTTCCATTTGAAATTTACGGTTGTTGGGGTCTCCTAGTAAATTAATAGAAATGCAAAAAAGGGAAGTTCTGGATACTGAACCCTCACGAGCCGTACCTGGTTATTATTGCATCCGTTCGTGCCATTTTCTTCTTTTTTCCGACTTCCGTTTGATGGAGTAGCTTCTTCAATAGCTACAACCTGTAATCAGGAATGTATAAGGCTTCCAAAAACCAACAGAGCAGACAGTTCTGTCACAAACCTTTCCATTGCTTTTGCTTGCCTCGTTTTCTTTCTTTAGTTTTTCCGCCTCGTCAGCAATCGCTTTCCAAGCCATTCGACAAAGTGTTTGGTCTCTTATGCGGCAGGAGTTCGTGAGGAAATTGATAAACTTCGCTTCCTGTAACATCACTTGAGACTGAGAACTGAATCATGAGACTCAAATCGAACTGACCTTTCGTGGAATGTTATTGTACCCTTGGATATTCTGCAATAACGACCTCAAACGTGAGTCTTTCACGAATTCAATGGCACGCTCCACTTGCTCACACCATGCATTCTGTTTCACTTCGCCCTAAACTAACTTGTGCTACTTTCATACTGCAAATTGGATTTAAAAAAACTAAGGCGGAAGCTCACAGATACCTTGGCCTCCTTTTCCACATAGTTCTTCGATCCATACTTTTGGTTTTCAGTTATACATTTGACATGTTGTTGATAGGTATACGGTCTAGAAAACGAAAATATAACAAAAACAAAACAAATTGGCGAAGAATGAAACAAAATTNATAGGCAAGCCAGACAAAATGAAAAGAAATTAAGGGGATGAATCAAAGTAAAGGCAATGGGTCAAGGGGAAAGGGTCATGAAAAGACGTCTTGATGTCACAAATGGGACAGAAAGGGCCTTTCTTGACAGACAAGCAACATGAGATGTTTATTCATCACTAGTCAGCCTCTCAAACACTACTCATGCGCTAGAACAGAACGACTTCGGTGGATTCAGAATGGTCGCATGGATGTTTAGAAATGAATGGTTCCAATATTTAATGAACAATTCTAGCGGAGAAACAAAGGCTGACTCAAATAAAGTAAGAAAAATGTAAAAGAACACTTTAAGAATAGAATACCATAGAATCTACAAAAAGAAACTAACGTGAAACAAACTTGACAATCGATGCAACTGTAACTTTGGGAGCGGCATTTATACGTATGTTTCTCGACCTAAAATTTCAAATCGAACATTCTGCTACCGTTGTTACAAAAACTCACTAATCACAATAAACTTTACAATTCTCTTTTTGGCGGTTCGATTTCTGTAGAACCAGAGCACAGGCAATTGCACGGGGTTCGATATGTCGACATAATATTAATCATACGCAAAAGCGCGATATCATAAATTGAAGGGGTAAAAACTGAAAAACTGTTCACAAAAAGAAAGCCGAAATCCTTCCAAACCCTGCTCATTTAGGAGAGATTTTCAGATATCACAATCACCATTTTCGAAGATGAAGAGTTCCACCTGTGCCTTACATGGCTCACTCCACAAATGTGCACCCTCCCTACATTTCCTTAGAACGATAGTACCATCAACTACAACTGCTCCTACAAATAACTCTTCAAACTGTAATATCAGCAGCGTCTGAATGGGTGAGGATAGCGCAATCGTTTTTCTTTACTCACGGATCCACTACTCATCATCTTCCCGTAACTATTTACACTGCATACACATGCCCCTTATCCGCCTCATCCGTTACCCATCGGACCGCGACGTAACGGCACGCGTCACATCTCGGACATTTACATATAAAATGCCGAACATGTTAGTTTGTTCTAAGTTGATAATATTATAAAAGTTAACACCTGATTCTTCTTGAGAGACTCTCCACACTGATCACATGTGAAGAACACCATCTGAACAAGCCAAATAGAAGAACAACCCTAATCGCTGTCAAAAGTATCCAGGTGAACACAGTAATCACTTTTCCGTTGAAACAGAAGACATACTGGAATCTTTATCTTTGAAAATATATTGCAATCACCAGGATATCACGAGAATCCTCACAACAAATGAATAAACAACTTGGAACAGTGGCAAGTTGTAAATGTTGAACTGAAACTGTGGCAAGTGGAGATTTGCAGGTAATTAGTCAGAGGATACAGTTTCAGTTCACAAATCAAAATGCTTAAGTCTCGTGTAAACAACACACTCAGACGATAGAAAAAATCGGGATAAAGAAAAATTGGCTCATATGAATGCATCAATCTATCACAGATTTGAATGAGACTAACAACAATACCGGCAAAACGTAACATACAAAATTTCATCCATAAATAATAATTATGCCATGGACAAAATATAAAGCAGCCCATCAACGTTGTTACCTTGAAAATACCGCCATGGACAAGGGTAACACCATGATATTGGAGAAAATTGGAGAAACTCAGTTCAGCAGACCCTTTCGCTGCAGTTAAGAATATGTTCGTTTGAATGAATATACCATTTGGATTTTTGATGAAAAAAGGTGTAAACTCGAGACATCGCAGTTTCACCAATAAATAAAAGTGCTCATTAACGAAGTGAACAATATAAGTGATCAAAAGTTGGAAAAAATAATGGCCGAACCTCAAAAGGCATTTTCTTATTGCTATGTCGATGAATTTTCCTTAAGGTGCTCTCATACAAAAACAAAAGTGAACTAGTCAAATCGAGAAGCTTGGGACAACTTAACAAATCTTTCATGGAACATTAAGGAGAGGAAGGAAAGGAAACGAACATGCAGGAACTGTTGCAACAAAAGCCTAAAGCAACGGAAAACACAATCCTTTGAAATGGGTTGGAGAAGATCTGATAGACTCATAACTCATAATTTCAATACTTTCGAATACCAATAATAAGCTCTGAAAATGAACTTTTTTTTTACTCTGAATTTCACTCCCAGTGGAAGTGGAATTAACCACAGCCTACTTTGTTACAGTTCATTGGAAGCTATAATGTAGCTATAATGCAGTGTTCACCTTGCTATTTGACAGGAAAGTGAACGAAGGGACTTCTTCTTTAAGTGAAGACGAAACGAACCTTTTGAGCCAAAGGTGGTAAAAGTTACTGTGAAACCATACACCACTTCAAATTTCAATAACTCTGTTGCATCACCAAACTCAAGTCCCTTGAAGTGGCATGAACAATTTTTCTATCCTTTTCCACATTTCAAGTATCTTTTTCAATTACGGTCGGCAGCAAGCTGTATCCTCCAGTTCCGACACTGATCGTAGACGACAAATTTACACTCTTTCCATGGAAATCGTAGTAGAGCGTTGAATGAAAAGCTATATTGGATAGTACTACGCAGTACTCTGCCAACGCAAACATCGTATAGACTCCTGGCTCACAATACGTGTTGTGTCTCCAGTAGAGATACATAGCCAGGACCATGGAGATGATCGAGCCAGCACATGCGAGGATTTTATATTCGTACGAGCGTTCGCCCTTGAAATAAGTACCTGTATAAATAAACTCTAACAACAAAACTTCTCAAAAAAAAAACTTACCAAGTTCGTTGCCCTTCGACGTCCCGAGTAGTGAAATAACCATGTACTTAGCAACATATACAACGTAGCTGACATGGCAAATCCAATAAAGCAAAATTTATGGAGGGCTGAAAAGGATCGTTTGAGACGCACAAAAAAAAAGATTGATAATGGACAGAACGTAGGTACCATGATTTTCTACAGAAGAGATCGCAGTCAGTCCTAGTAGAAACATATTCTCCAACACGTTCAACACGCACGCAACATGGCATGAAATGCGAAAGACACGGGCTCCGGTAAGAGGTCTCAATGGAGAGAATAAGAGGAAGTTCCTAGAACAAATGAATTGAACAATTTACAGAAGAAGGAGCCTCACAACAAGGCAACTGAGGATGAATGCGCTGCAGTTGCTCTAGGAGAAGTAAAAATTTATCATCTTGCTAAGTGGAAGCTAAATCTACAAAATACCGTAACCGTCCCACACTGCTGTCTAAAGCGAATTTTGAAATGAAGAAGTTCGTAATTATTGTTAGCACTTTTAAGGTGCATTCGAAATACTCATGAAAAGACTAAATCGAAATTGAGTTTAGAAGTTTACGACCATGATACCTAAGGGAAACGTAGGGAAAGGAAATTGTATGTGAGCCTTCTTTAGGTGGAATGTTGACGGTTCGGGTCTATCCGTCATACCCTCTACTAGGCCGAATTCCCATCTTCTCCATTAGCGAGAAACCACGAAACCTGGCTCAACCAAGAAAAGCGACGCGATATTTAATATTGAGGAATATTGAGCCTACCTAAAAGCAAAGGCGACAAACAAGCGAGGCCCACCATGCACAGCAATGAACATTCGCCATATGTACATCTCAGGTGCGTATGTAGAGACAGCTGCAGAAATCGAAGGCAGCCTATGAAGACAAAATATTCAAAGATCGAATCAAATTAACGCAAAGAAAGGGACTGTGCCAGCCTCGAGCAATGAGTTAGTAACCACTAAAAAGACAGAAAAATTGTAAAATAATTTATAAGGAGACGTTTATGTGTTCACAGTACTACAAGGGAAATTCGCTCAAAACGTCAGTAAGCTGTCCGACTTACCAATTCTCTACTCCACAATGAGTCCTTGTTGCTGCTTCAAAATGCAGTAATACAGAAAAAAGCACACATATGATCAGGGCGGATAATGGTAATCCTGCTACAATAAAGACGAATAGTCGAAACGGAAGTGACAGAATGTCGTCATCCCCGTAAGCCATCAGCCTGACAAGGAAAAGTATAAAATGTAAAGATCACTCAGAATCGCAACAGATGACGCGGTCAACGATTAAGTTCTTTTAGAAGCACGACAAGAAGACCACTCCCGATGAAAAATTGAAGGAACACCGGAAAGATCATTTTTCGGGTTGCGCTTTGTCCTCGACTCAAACTCTCTTACGAACACCATGGCCAACTGGTCGCTCGTAATGGAAGACAGCGTGAGGACACTGATCAATGGCCGGAATAATAGATATTTATTGTTCAGTGTTCTCACACTATCTGGTATGAGCCAAACAACCTACACTGCAGAGATTGGAAGGCTGGTTTGCNTGGTCGCTCGTAATGGAAGACAGCGTGAGGACACTGATCAATGGCCGGAATAATAGATATTTATTGTTCAGTGTTCTCACACTACCTGGTGAGAGCCAAACAACCTACACTGCAGAGATTGGAAGGCTGGTTTGCGGGAAAGAATCTGAACCTGGATTCTCATCCATAGATCATGAATGGGCTAGCTACGGCAATTATCAGTGTACCACTCAGCAAAAATATCCACTACGAAAAATGGCTCCGAAAAGAAACACGGCGTAAGAAATTTGGGGAGCAATCATTTCCCATTAGAAGACTGACAAAGGTCGTGTCGAGCGAGATAGATCCATATCGGCGTCGGATCGCAAGAGAGAAGGTACAAGCGTAATCAGATGGGCAAGCAAACGTGTACTTTCTGAAAATCAATAGACGGAGTGGAACCTCTGCAGCAGGTTTCAACATATTCAAGAAAATTTTATTAGCAACAAATTATGTACAAAATTCTCTATCATAAAACAATTCTATCACTGCAGCTAAAACTACATAATAGTTAAAATAAAGTTTCAACTATCGATATCGCCCTTTCCACATAATATCGTAATGTGAAAGCCAACTAGTACAATTTTGCATATTATACTTTATCACACGATCCCAATTGAAAGGATTTTGATTGTGCTCAGCGATTTCCTTTTCTGCTTCCCTCCTTTGTGCGAGTATCTTCTCGCTAACGAACTCTACTGGGAACAAGAATCGCTCACAAAGATAGAGCAGGAATGCTTGTGCCTAAAACAATACAGTAATTCGTGGTGAAAAAGCAAACTGTAATTTGATGTGTGCTGAAAAAAATGCACGTGAAACAGCACTATGGAAAAAACTAACGCACAGCATTGCGGTGAACTAGCTTGCAATGGCAGTTTAATTACCACAAGAACACCTGTCACATAGTTATTTCTCAGAAATCACCCCAATGCCAAATGAGCTATGTTCTCAGAGAAATAGTCTAAATCTGCGACAGCCAAGAACATATCGTATATGAGGGGTGCTGGAAAAGTCTTTTTTATGACAATGGAGCCTTCCAGTTGGTATCAGACTCTGAAAGCACAGATTTGTACATCAGCTGGCCGAAACAAGTCAGTTAATAGGTCATATACACCTTCATAAGCCATGAAGATTCCGAATAGAATTCGAATGTGGGAGTACAACCCATAAAAGGATTGACCAATGCCAACACACTTCAATTTTAGGCTTAGTAACAATGACTAATACTACTTCAAATGTATTTTGCAATGCTGGTGTGAAGCCAGCACCGTCACCATCAGAGCGGAGAGCCTCGAGTACTACATTGACTACAATCCTCTACCTGTTACCCACTTAACTCTTTCAGATCATAGTATGATCATAGTAAATCTAAGTAAAAGTGGTCTAATCTATCTACATATATTTAATCAATTTACATGATATTAACTAGAGAAATACCTCAATCTCCGTAATATGGCCTCCCACTTCAAGAATGATCCGTTTCGCTTTCACAGGTGTCACGTAATGGTGAATACTTCCTTTGCCGCCACCAAGACGGGTACCTGAATTACACGGTCCATGAAGTCCAATAAAATGATTTTCTATGAAAATGTCTCCCACCTTGGGCTTTCTTCGTTCTCGGTAACCACGGTGGATCAACACGCCATATGGCAAACTGTTTATCGCGGAGGTTTTTGTTGACACGCTCCTTGAAAAAGAGTGAATGAATGTGAATGGTTTCTTGCTTTTTGATAGATCGAATAAAATAAAAAGTAGTATTCCAGTTACAGTAATACCGCTCATCTTGTTGGACAATGACTTGAGGGATCACGACAAAACTCACTTGAATGAACTTGAAGTCATCTGCGGAGATGAAACCACCAGAAACTGCTGCCAGACCGTACTGTTCATGAATAAGCTCTGTGTGAACTTCCTCTACACCACGCGCTTCGATCATTCTTTTAGTTGTTTTGTACCTGATCAAGATGAAGGGTATGACAGAAATCGTAATGAGAAATACATAAACAACGCTGAATATAACAAAAGAAACGAAAACCCATCACTCACTTCTTTTCTCCCTTGTCTGGATCATATTCTGGTTCAGGCGGCATTTTGGGAAGCTTTAGCTGGCCATTCGGTGGAAATTTTACGTCTGAATAAGACAGACACATAGAATGTCAAAATCTTGGAGCGCTTCAACAATATTTATAAAACTTACTCTCAAATGTCACTGGGAATGGATACTTTCGCATTCCCCGACTACTCCCATGTAGCAGATTAGTGAGTTCCTGTAGAAGAACTGTACGGGTTCTCCAACTCATGGTCTAAACATTTTATTACGACCTTTTGTGAAAAAAAAATGACGAGTCAACCGTCCAAGCTTGCTAAATCCCTACTTTAAGGTGAATACGAAAAAACAATTTCTCGTTGAGTCAGGTTCACCTACAAAAGCTTCTTCACAGAATTAAAACCCTAAAAAGTTGAGAGAACACCTCGACAAAGTGAATTTACTCACGAAAGCTCTTAAACCAGTGGAAATCATTTCTTTCGTTAGATGCGAAGCGGTTACCCGGCATCGGTACTGGAGCGCAGAATCTTGCTTGTTTTGATACAAATTTTCTCCTTGCCTTGTGGGCAACACCCCGTTGATGTTATTTCCCAACTTGCTTTTTCTATTTTGGAGACCACCTAACAAATAGTTAATCCGCTAAAGTTGAATACTTGTGTTTGTGTCCTAAATAATGTTAGGATTCTCGTAATATCGTCGCGGAGTTTTGGTTACTCAGGGGTTAATGTGACTCGAAAACTAAAACAAAAACTGGAAGCTATCGCTTTTTTATGACCTACAACTCCAATTGAGCATATTTTAGAAGCTACATAAAGATCTAATCTGCGAAATGTCGCTTTCGGCAATGTTAAAGGAGCATCAACAGAGGCAAGTGCTGCGAAGAGAAGAACAAGGCAAGTTTGAGTACCAACACATTAATTTAGCAGCTGTTTTCTTTGAAGGAGGTGCCCGTTAAAAACCCTACCAGGTGACAATAATTTTTCAGAAAAACTCAAAAACGAAGCCATTGTCGCAGCTCACAATCTCTCGTCGGCCGTTGTCGATCATTTGAATCTGAGGTGGGCAGGTTATTTCCCACGTTCTATCTTAGGTAGAATTTACTTGAATTTTACTTACTTCACTTGCTTTTTTTGATTTACCTGTTGGGATTTGGAAGAGTATGGATTTTTTCATTCTGTTCATATTGAGCTACGAGAAAACCCTGGAAGTCAAGGAAACAGCCCAGACGTTCGCTAGTCGGCGTTCAGGTTTGCAGCACCTTAGCGATGGAGTTCTGGGCACTGGTTTCGGAATTTCCCGCTCGTTCTCTTTTCGGATCGCAGATCCTTCAACTATCTTATCCGTTTATCGCCTGTGAACATTGCATATGCTGCGCGCATATCTCGACTCGACTTTGCGCAATCCAGTTCGGGCACTATTCGAAAGCTCTAAATTCATTCAAAACAATTTCTAGCTACAAAAATTAACCATCGCCATGTTTTTTTCTTCATCTTGCTATGGAATTTCCATCAAAGCTTTCCCTTCCGTCTATTTTCAGGGTCTCTCAAGCATATGGAAATCAAAAACGACTAGATGTCGAAGCGAAACGATTCGAAAGCAATGCCGCCGCGCTAGCCAAGCAATCGGAACAATGGCTGGCCATCACGGAATCACTTAATCACGCACTCAAGGTTTTCCATTAATTATCAGCCTTACCATTACTGGTGATTTGCTGTGTTCAATTTTTGATCCATTTGTAGAAGGGTTCAGAAAGCTGCCAACCAGTACAGCCACTGTACACCTTTTAACAAGTATCAAATCATCTTCATAACTTTAAATCCCTACTTAGTCACCAGTCTGCCCGTTTAGTAGCTTGTGTGAATTGGGCTGTGAATAATCTCACTTCACATCCATAGCCCATGCTTCGAATAACATACACTCAGGAAATAGGCGACGTGGAAAATTGGGCCAAAGCAATCCAAAACGATATGGCGATCATTTCGACTACACTACAACGGATATATCAAGGTAATGTTTCGAAGTGAACCTTTTTTTAGC